GTGGGTTCGATCCCGACCCTTACGACGCCTGTATGTTTGGAGTTTGCATGTTCTCCCCGTGGGCGCGTGGATTTTTCTCCGGGTACTCCAGTTTTTTCCCTCCACATTTAGAAACGTGCGTTTATGAGTATTTGGCCGCTATAAATGTCCATATGATAAGCAACTTCGTTTAGCTATCCTCTGTGGCCAGGCCGCTTCTGAAAAAGAGCTATATAGCTCAGTCAGCCTTACCTGGTAAAATAAAAAAATTGTTTTGGGCGGTGCTTGGATGGGTGACCATCATGCATACACAGGTGCTGTAGGCTGCTCCAGGGCTATATTATCAACACGGTGTAGTGCAGCAAAAATAAATTATCTGTACTGCGCTATGCTCCAACGGCTATACTCGCCTCCTTCACCAATCCGCACTGGTGAAGTATGGTCAAATACCCCCCGCCCCCCATGACCCACAATGGCATGGGGAGGTCCTCATCCAGCAGTGGAGTGACGAGAACGCTGCATGTGTACACTGCGAGGTACAAATATAATGTGCTTGTTGGCAATAACGTGGTTGTGTTAAATATGGCGTGAACAGCATTTTACATAATTCAAACCAAGATATAAATATATATTCCAGTATACAGCTTGTGCAATAATAATACTCCAATGTCAATTATCGATGAAGAAATCACTGAGGGTCAACATTCTTTTCGGGAGGGGACTGTGTTGGAATGTTAAGGCAACCCCATGAAAAGTATTTACACTATGAGACATCTCCTTTACCAGTGGCAAAATATAGTAGTAGGTTTTTACCCTTTCAACTGGTACAAAAACTGACACCTTTATACAAGGCATCATGTTTGCAATAACCACAACACAAGCAGTCAAAATGCAAACAAAAAGAAACAACAGTGCATATCATTATCATCATCAGAGTTGTTTATTTTTGTTTGCATTTTGACTGTTGTGTTGTGGTTATTGCAAACATGATGCCTTGTATAAAGGTTTCAGTTTTTTTACCAGCTGAAAGGGTAAAAACCTACTACTATACCCATGATAAGTGTTTTGAATATTGGAGAACACTTCGTTATAAAACACCGCCACCTCCTGTCCACCTCGTAGCCTCATGCCGACAAGACCTGGAAAACCCTAGTGGACAACCATCCCAGTGCTCGCCAGGTTGATGCTTGATTGGTTTCTGAGATATTGTGAGATTGCTCAGAGTGATCTGAGCCATTTGGTCACAGTACGTTTATCTATGACTATACTATGTGAAATGTGAAGTGTATTCTGTTGTACGGTAGGGGGTTGGTCAGCAATGTTTGCGAGTTCATGCTGAGGCTGGTGAGCCAGTGGACCGCTTCAGGAGTGGCCTGATAAATATCTGAAACCAGCCTATTGCCCGTCCAAGGACGGGTGCATTTCAGTAAATCTGAAACTTTCAAGCGAAAAGCAGACCGCGACGTGCTATTCATTGCATCCATTCGAGTGCAATTTGTAAGGTCGCGGTGACACAGACCTATTTCATACTGGTAGGAACATCCTGGTTACACCAGCCCACAGGGGATTATTGTGCCCGTCGTGCAGGGAGGGGCTGGGTGGGGAGGGAGGGGCTGGGTGGGGAGGGGAGGGTGGGGAGGGGCTGGGTGGGGAGGGTGTGTGGGGAGGGGCTGGGCTGGGTGGGGAGGGTGGGGCTGGGTGGGAGGGGTGGGGCTGGGTGGGGAGGGGCTGGTCACCCCGTGGTGCCCTTATAAAACTCAACGTTTAACCTACTCACGCCGGCTTGTGCCCACACTCACAGTCGGGCATATTTGCGGAATACACCACGCCGCCGTTGACCCTGGCCATTGACCGAGCAACCCAACGTTCCTACCAGCTCCTTCCGCAAGAATGTGTTAAGGTTATAATCTCTTGTTCATCACGACGTCCTTTTTACTTCGATGTCTCAATAGCGGAGATCGCGTGACGTGAGGGTTCTGCCTTTGTAGTGAGGGTTGTAAGTTGACGCCGAGGAGGGGGGAGGAGGCGCCTCGCCCCCCCCCATGTGGAGTGACGTCAGCCGCTAATTATTATGAATGGGGGGGGTGTCCATTTGGAGGACATCACCTTACAATCATTATTAATGAGGGGGGTTGTTCGATGTGGAGTCACGTCACCTGCTCATGATTATTAATGAGGGGTGAGGGTGCTCCATATGGAGTGACCTCACCTGCTCATGATTATTAATGATGGGGGGGGGGGGGGTCCATGTGGAGGACGTAACCTGTTCATGATTATTAATGAGGGGGGCTGGTCGACGTGGAGTGACGTCACGAGCGTTACACACAGACATTCTTGGCTCATTATTGTAGGTAATAAGGCGGGGGGGGGGGGGGCTGATCGATGTGGAGTGGGTGATTATAGTCGGTATGTGGCCGGCGAATAATCGAAAGCTCACAGCAGTGGCGTCACTTCGTGGTCTACACTGATTTTCAGAGAGGGGGGGCCACTTTCGCCGATACGACATCAGTGTGAGGGCCGCCACAAATTCTAAACCATTGGGGTTTGACGGCACGGTGATGGGGGTGTTTTCACAGTTCTGTTTTGTTGGGGGTCGCACTAAAGGCCACCAGGGGCCTTGCAATGAAGAACACAGCTGTAGTGTGAGATTTCGGACTGAAGTCACACTCCGGCTTGGTCATTACTTGCCGAATACCAGGGTGCCACGTATTTAAATCATCGTACATTTTGCTCATGGTGTCATGTATGAGACCACTTGACTACTTCACATGCTATCTTATAGTTTGTGGTACAGGCCCATTGAATTTGTGGGCCACAAAATTGTTAATTTTGTTGGGAAGACAGCATGTTCTGAATGAGAAAAAATTCTGATGTAAACTACTGTAATGGAGGGGGGGGGGGGGATTGCAGAGGCAGGCTCACAGCAAATTCCCATAAAAATCAGAGGCCAAAATTAAGTCATGCATTAAGATGACAAAGGATATCCCAGGATTAAGCATACGCCGTCATTTACCAAAGCTTCAAAAGTCCCTTTGCAATCGTTTTCCCGGAATGTGTGTTGTTGCTTCCAGGCTGTTGACTTTTACGGGCTATTGGGTTGTACAGTAGTACTTGGGATACATTATGAATTTGACGTTTTACGTGCCCTGAATTTTGCAGTCCACCAGGATGGGCACACACACTGTATATGCGTGGGGGTTTACCAATCATTTATGACCAGCGGCGCTGAACAAAGGATGACATTGCAGGCATCATAAATTGCAGGTACAACTTTAGCCAGCAAATATTGAAGACGTGTAAATTTTTAGTACTGTGCTAGTTTATGTATAACGTTGCGATGAAGAAATCTAATGGCTAAAGAACCAATATTCAGTGCATTTAAGTAGTATGAATTCATGATGTGCCATGATAAAAGTTTATAGTAAAAAAAATCAGTTTGACAATCAAATATTGAAACGAGAAATCAAATTTTCCCAAAAAAATTGCATTGCATTCACGCAGCAAACTATGGATGTGGTAAAAAGTAAAGGTACGGCCCTGAAATGTATTGTTTATGCCATTGCTGGTGGAAGGACTTCAACGGGAGAGCCCTTCCTCGAGAAGGAATTTGGCCTACTCTTCCACTCTCGCTAGCCGTCTTGCAGGAGGTGGGAATACCCACACCTTGCCCCACCACACTTGACCTGCCGATTGCTTTAACTAGTAATGACCCATTTTTTTCATATTTCTGTGTAGACACGAGGCTAAGAAACGTGCCCACTGTTTTATCTGCCACGCCTGGAGATCGAACCCACGATCATCTACATGCTAGCCATTATACAGCACCAGGGGGGCAGCTTATTGGATTCCTCCAGTATAAATACACATTCTAATTTGCTAGGTGGCTTCAAATTGAACAAAGGGTTTATTTTTTTTATCCAAAGTTTGTTTTGTGTACATATACACTAACAAACCCGTTATATATCGCGCCTTCAGTGCCAAGTTGAAGCCACTTTCGAGGATAAAAGGCGCTGTGAAGTTTAGAAAAACACGCGAACTGATGGGCGCTTGCCCTGAATGTCAAGCAGACAGACAACTTGTTTTCCGATGCAGACAATAGCAAACTGTATCTGTGGTTTGTACAAATAATGACTGTGAACATTGCGTTGACGAGCCTGTGTTCACGGCCACTGTTTATAAATTTGTCCACTAAAGGACATAGTTACGCTTCTACGATGCCATACATTTTAATTTTTTTTAAACGCGGTGTGTGGCGCTAACGTCAAATGATTTCGAATGTGCGTCCACAACGCCACAAAGTGTCCCACCGTGTGTAATGGACATTTAAAAACACTCTACCTAATTATACGATTAACCAAACATCGTTTTTGTGCGTGCGTGTGTTCAGAATACATTGTAATTTACATCATGCAAATTATATTTAACCCAAATGCGTTCACAACCAATTATCCACCGAATCAATTCAGGGGGCGGTATCATATCACCGTATAGGGCACACACATGACATATGATGATGTCCAGTGACTTCATGATCCACAACCCACACACATTGTGAAGCAACTGTACACGTGACACACAAAGACACCCCCCCATGTAGCCTTAACAGATTGTTGTGGCAAGTGATGTTGGCAAGCAGCACCTATGAAGACCGGGCATGGCAGCACAAGTAGATGGGTGGCCAGCAAACCCATGCCCGCACGCCTTTGTCTCCCCACCAGAGATGTTTTCACACCACACCAGGTACTCATTCGAGGCTGATTCGACCCATAGGGGGCCCATGACCGGTTCAGATAATCGTCGTCTTACACATACACACATGAACGGCGTTAAAGACCAGACTGCACACATACCATGAGTGGAACGATGCTGAGACTTTGTGTGTGTGGTGGGATAGATTGAGTGAGAGAGCAAGAGAGATGGGGGTGTATGTGTGTGTGTATGGGGGGGGGGGGGTAGGAGGAGGAGGGAAGAGATGGGAAGACCCCTTTTACCGGCAAGCCTTATCACAGCTCTGTCCGCAGGATCCAGCACCCCATCCGTGGCCACCTTCCTCTTCATGCGGTGGTGCCTGGGCAGGTTCCACGGGAGGGTGTCCCCTGCCGACAGCGACTGCGATCCCGACGCCTGGCCACTGCTGCTGCAGCTACTGCTGTCCTCATCCGACGAGTCGACGGTAGACATTGTCCTGCGAGAGTGTTGGTGTTGGTGGTGTGTGTGTGTCTCTGTCAATTTAACAAGAGGCGGTGCCCGAAAGGACTCATCGACGGAGAGGTTAACGTGAAGCTCCCCACCGCTGTGTGTGTGTGTGTGCACTCACTGCTACCCGACTTTGTCCCGTCTGAATGTCGAGATGTCTTCTTTCAACGCTGCTGCTTCTGCTGCTGAAGCTGTAAAGATTGGGCTACCCGCCCCTCCGTCTATGCGCGATGCGGATGATGTCTTCTGTGCATTGTGTGTAGGGGAGCAGCAGCAGGAGGAAGAGGAGGAGGCAGGATCGGCGTGCAGAGGGCTGCGTGATGAGACGCGCACTTCGCCACGCTGTGGTGCTGCGGGTGTAATGCACTCCGCTGGCAATGGGAGAGGGTGGGGGACATTCAGAGCACATCACGGATATGCATACAGTGAAATATATGCACGGTTTCGTTTATGCAATTTTACAATGATCTGTGTGTGTGGTGGTGGTGGTGATGGACAAGTCTTAGATTGAAACTAAAGCCAATGGATGTCCTAAGACATTCAGAGCAGATCACGGATATGCATACAGTAAAATATATGCACGGTTTCGTGTATGCAATGTTACAATGATCTGTGTGTGTGTGTAGGTGGTGGTAGTGGTGGACAAGTCTTAGATCGAAACTAAAGCCAATGGATGTCCTAAGACATTCAGAGCAGATCACGGATATGCATACAGTAAAATATATGCACGGTTTCGTTTATGCAATGTTACAATGATCTGTGTGTGTGGTGGTGGTGGTGGACAAGCCTGAGATCGAAACTAAAGCCAATGGATGTCCTAAGACATTCAGAGAAGATCACGGATATGCATACAGTAAAATATATGCACGGTTTCGTGTATGAAATGTTACAATGATCTCCCTGTGTGTGTGTAGGTGGTGGACAAGCCTGAGATCGAAACTAAAGCCAATGGATGTCCTAAGACATTCAGAGCAGATCACGGATATGCACACAGTAAAATATATTCACGGTTTCGTTTATGCAATATTACAATGATCTCTGTGTGTGTGTAGGTGGTGGTGGTGGTGGTGGACAAGCCTGAGATCGAAACTAAAGCCAATGGGTGTCCTAAGGTCAAGTGGGATGAATGCTTTCCATCCGTCGTGGATTGCTCTACTGTATGTGTCACAATTGCTGGTATGACATAAGGGCAGGAAATGCAAGGATGTGGAGTGGTGGGGTTAGGGGTTGGGTGAGTTGGGTCTTTGTTGTGCTACCGGGGAGGAGTGGTTGGAGGGAGAAATAATGAAGAGAGAAAAAATATTTATTTGCTATTAATCTATGTTTTTTTTTAACCCGGTAAGGCCCACTGAGCGATATAGCTGTGGTTTTTTTGTTTGTTCAAAAGCGACCTGGACCACAAATCATATCTCAACGAAGTGGCTTATCATGCGGAAATGTATAGCAGCCGAGTACTTTAAACGCGTGTTTATAAATGTGGAGGGGAAAACTCGGAAGACCCGGAGAAAAATCCACGCGACCACGAGGAGACACGCAAACTCAAGAGTCGGAATCGAACCCACGAGTTGCTGCATACCAGACGATGTAGTGAACATCTCGCCACCGAGATGATAAGAGTGGATGGTAACAGTGCCGGATTAAGCTAGTGCGGGGCCTGTAGCATATGTTGCAAAGGGGCCCTAAATAAAATAAAAATATTAAAACACATTTTGTTTTACTTGCAGAGTAAAGTACAGTAATTGTATATTTGTATTTGCTATACAGCCAGATAATACGACAAATCGCTAACCTTAACCACCCAGTCGTTCATAAAAGTTGAAGGCAGTATAGTACTATAGTAATAGAGCAAGTGCAGAATCACTGAACCGGAATTGATAGCTTGAAAGCATTTAGCGCGGGGCCCTTAAAAGTGCGGGACCCGTAGCATATGCTACTTTTACAACTAGGATAATCCGGCACTAGATGGCAATAATAACACGGTGAAGTGCTGGTGCAGTTACACGAGTTCGATTGCCGGTCATGGAAAACATCATCAGTGGCATTTGAATCGGTCCCAGCCCCTACCCCTCACTCTTCACCAGTCCGTACTGACCAGACGCGTGAAGTATTGTCAAACAAGCCACATCATCGACACTGCGTGGGAAGGTCTTTGTCCATCAAGTGGATCGGCAAAGGGATGTAAATTCCTGCATTGCTGTTATGAACGGACATTAAGTTGGATGAATGAATGGGTCGATGATGGCATCCCTAAAACAAAGAGCTTAACCCTCCAAAAAACAGACAGAACCAGCTCTCCCTTGTTTAAATAAACAGCGTGCACTGTTACTTCCTCGGGGGATCACTGAAATACACCCCAACCCCCACACACACTCTCCCCTGCTCTCAACCGCAGTCTCCATCGCCACGGCTTCTCAAGAAGTCATCGAACGGCAAGCACATTTCACAGTTCCCAACAGTAACAAAAAATGAACACCAATTGATGAAGCGTGCTGGGTGACTCAGGCGAGGAGATGCCCCCCCCCACCGATCCACGTTCACAAACAAATGAATGGGGCTGTAAAACAAACTGAAAGACTACATATAAAAAAACCCAACAAAGCTAAGCCTACGAGATTGGGTCACACGCTGTGTGGGATGAATAGAGACTATTCGTTGAAGAGTGGAACGCCCAGGTTGTTTTTGTTTGTTCACGAGTTGGTTAAAAACTGTAAGAAACTGTATACCACACATCACTTGAAGGTGTCTCAGAGGTAGCGCCCTGACATCTGCTTCTGTGGGCCGTTCTCTTACACCAGGCGAGAGATCTGAAAGGATACATAATCTTTAAACAACTAAAACTATTTTGATTTTAAGCTTTCGTGACTGCAAGAATCCATACTCTTTGGTTCTTTCGGTAAAGTCACGTAGGTAGAAAAATAATAAATCACGACGTTTTCATCGCAACACAAGGAATCGTCATCAGGTGGGACAACCACAGCAAGACAAAACTGCTGAAGTATATATTTTTTTACCAGGTAAGGCCCACTGAGCTTTCTATATAGCTATTTTTTCAGAAGCGACCTGGCCACTGATGATAGCTCAACGCAGTGGCTTATGATGTATAATATTTTTTTTCAGCCAACCATTCTAAACGCATGTTTCTAAATACGGAGGCAAAATCCAGCAGACCCGGGGATATATCTATGCGACCATAGGAAGAGAGACATGCAAACTCCAAAATGTATTCTTTGGTTTTTCGGTAAAGTCATGTGGATATAAAAATAATAAAATTAAAGTGAATAAAAATGTAAACAAAACCATTAATGTAGACTAGCCTGGTTCTTAATCGGAGTGAGTGTACTGGCAGTCTATAATGTAGACTGTAGCCTGGTTATTAAGTTTGGTGAGTGTACTGGCAGTCTATAATGTAGACTGTAGCAATGGTTATTTAGCTGGGTGAGTGTACTGTCAGTCGAAAATATAGACTGCAGCCTGGTTCTTAACCTGAGTGAGTGTACTGGCAGTCTATAATGTAGACTTATTCTTGGTTCTTTCAGTAATACATTTTTTAGATAAAAAACAAAAACCACGACGTTACGATCACAACACAAGCGATCGTCTTCAGGAGGAAAGAGGGATTTGGTCACCCAAGGCAACCGCTGAAAAAGGTTTCAAAAATGGTCGTGGCACAAGAGCAAAAGCTCATGCGGTGCAACGAAGTGGGCGGGGCATATGTGCCCTGGGGTCAGAGAGCACCAATGTAAAGCACGGGACATGCAGTGCCACAAAACGTCTCGTGTCAGAACGAAGTGGACGGGGCACGTGTGCCCTGGGGCAAGACAACAAGAAAACGACACGAATCAAGTCATGGCTTAAGCTGTGCTCCCCCGACAAGAAAACACAAATCAAGTCACGACCCAAAGTGGTTGATGACATCTTTCCAATGATTGCTGAGTTGAAAACCATCCTCTCGGTTGAAATTGTGTCTGTATATATGGATGGCTTCATGAACGAATCTTTGTTGATAGCCAGTGGGCTTGCAAAGTACCATTGTCTTAGAGAAATCTATTTCGTGTGAGCCAGCCACATTAAAATAATTATCAGCCACGGCAGAAGTATTGTTCCTACCGTGTTTCAAAACTGCCTTATACTTACGAACACGGTCCGAGGCATGTCGCAAATACAGCTTAGTTTGTAGACGCCGGGATATTGCAAGTCAGGAATCTTGTCCTTCACAGATGGGATCATATCACGAATTTTAAGTACTGTGTTAATCGGACCTGGATCTTGTGTTTGTTCATGATTTTGGAAATATTTTGGTTACCCCTATGTATGGCAAGGTGATGGTTTTGATTGTATCCTCAGATGGCTCCTTCCTCACAGTTGAGGTGATGGCTTTGCGGATTGTGTAGTCAGAATATCCATTCCACTTGAGAGCTTGGTGTACGTGTTTGACCTCACTGGTTAGGTGTTCATGGTCGGAGATACATTGAACTTTATGGTGTAGCGTTTTGATGAAGGAATTATTCTGGGATGGATGGTGGTAGGAATCAGGTTTTAGGTAGGCATCAGTATGGGTTACTTTCCTGTAGACAGAAAGGCACATTGAGCCATCTGGTCTCTTTTTGATTCGGACATCCAAGAATGATAGCATGCCATCCTCTTCTACCTCCATGGTGAATTTGATGGCTGGGTGTATGGAATTGATGTGGTTGAGGAATTGGTTCAGAGCCGGTCGGCCATGTGGCCAGATGACAAACGTGTCATCCACGTACCTCTTCCACGAGGACGGGCGTAGAGTGGATGCCTGGATGGCGTCCATCTCAAATTTTTCCATGAAAACCTTGGCTACAACCGGAGATACGGGAGAACCCATTGGGGTGCCTTCAGTTTGTTTGTAGAATGTTCCATTCCAGGTGGAGTATGTATTGGTGAGGCAATACATACTCCACCTGGAGTATGATTGCAATGGTATCGGGCACCGAAACTAACGAGCAAATCACCTGGGGATAATGAGATGTCCTTAATTGACGATACCAGGTGAGCTGAGTTAAGAACAGAGGAGGTGGTCTTACCAGTGAATGGCTGTAAGGTCTCAGACAGATATCGGGACAGTTTGATGGTGGGTGAGTCAATGGTGGAGACGATGGGACGAAGGGGTGTACCTTCTTTATGGATATTTGGTAAGCCATATAATCTGGGTGGTCTAGCAGCAGATAGGTTTTAAGGAAAACCGTTTGGTCTGTTCAATTAATGAAGCTGAATCAGTGATGATAATGTTCATTTTTGTAACGAGGCTGTTGGTGGAATGCCAGTACGCTCACTCAGTTTAATAACCAGGCTACAGTATACATTATAGACTGCCAGTACACTCACCCAGCCTAATAACCAATACTACAGTCTACACTATAGACTGCCAGTACACTCACCAAATTTAATAACCAGGCTACAGTCTCCATTATAGACTGCCAGTACAACCACCAAGGTTAAGAACCAAGATTACAGTCTACATTATAGACTGTCAATACACTCACTCCGATTAAGAACCAGGTTACAGTCTACATTAATGTTTATATTATTTTATTTTGATCATTTTTATTCACTTTATTTTTTTTTCTGTATATGTGCCTTGACCGAAAGAAACAAAGAAAAATTATTTTTGCAGGCACGAAAGTTTTAGGTCAATACTCCAAATATACCGTACAGGCGTCAGGATCGGAATCGAAACCACAACCTCCTACATACCAGGCGAGCTGGTTAACATCTCGCCACCATGGCGCCTGTGGCACAATTCAGGATGTAAAATTTGGGTCAAATTAGATGGAATTATGGGCTGTTACCGTTTATATAACAAGTGATGCTTATCATAAAATCCGGTGTTCAATCTCAAAAATCTCGTGCCAAAACCAGATTTGCTGGTTCAGCCGCGGATTTACGTTCTTGTGTTATTAATAGTTACGTTTACGATATTAATGCCTACCAATCTGCGCTGTCCAAATACTGCGATGAAATGTATTTACATATATTCTCCCATTTGTGAAAATCTGTACACGACTGTCATAATTGTGGCGTAGTTGTTTAACGCACTGAGCTATGGGCCTGGAAACCTAGGTTCGATTCCCAACGACGGCTAACATCAGTGGCGAGTGATTGATGATCTGGTCCTGGGCCACCCTCAACTTCACCAAACCCGCATCGACCAACGTGGTGAAGTATGGTCAAACAACGCCCTACGACTGACATGGCATGCTGAGACAGGCACTCATCCAGCAGTGGCTTAACTTAGCACTGTAAATAAATTGACCCTCGTTTGGTTTAAATGCGTAGATATAATCGCATTCGTTTCATACAATATTGGTCAATGAGATGTGAATTAAATGTATAACGTGACCCACTATTGAGTACTGTACTGTATATATAGCTCCACTCACGCCTCTCGACACCCAACGAAACGATAACTTAACCCAAATAGGTAACGTCTGACTTTCTGGGGGCGGGGAGGAGGGATGCATTATAAATGCTTGTCACATTGCGCCCGTGGCCATAGCTCTGTATCCAACGGTGCGTGGTAATGCGTTTGATGGCATTTACCACTTTTAGCTCTCGCGACGATGGGGTGGCAACTGTCTGGGAATGTTTGATGCGCGGTGGATCAAGCCTGACCCCACGTGGCAGAGAGGGGGAATGACCCGAACGCACATGCGAAACGGCCCGCTCTCATCAGAGACGCCTGCGTATGTAAATAGTTTTAAGTGTGATCATATTGAGAGTAGGTTTCCCCCCCCCCTTTTTTTTTTCTGGCAACAAGACAGGTGTTGGGATGTTAAGACACCAAACTGAAACCTTTTACAAGGAACCATGTCTGCATTGACCACAATGCTTGTGGTCAGAATGCAAGAAAGCTGTCTCTGGTGTGGACCAATCAGTTTCAAAGACAATGCATATATAATTATCAGAGTATGTCTTTTGTTTGCTTTCTGACCACAAGTATTGTGGTTAACGCATACGTGATTCCTTGTAAAAGGTTTCAGTTAAGTGTTTTAACATCTCAAAACCTGTTTTGTTGCCAGAAAAAAGGGGAAACCCTATTCTCATATTTTGGTACTGGCAAAGGAGGTCCCATGATGTGATCATATTCCACATGAAGTGATAATTGCCCTGCATAATGATTACTCTTCGGCGGTTTTTATGCGTGCGTGTGTATTTGTTTTATATCGCGACCTCTACGCCGGGGCGTTTCACAGCCGCTTCACATCATCTCATCTCAAACAATTGGGAAGGGCACCCACAGTGGCAACTGTCCGTGACTCAGCACCTGGCCTTTGCTGCCCACGGCCATTCGACTGCCGGTTGTGGGGGTGGGGG